ACGAAGTTAACGAAGTTATCTCCCCCACCCCCCCCACCCTCCCCTTTTGTGACCATCTTGGCAGAGCATGTCGCCGTCGCAGCAGTACACGGCCGACTACCTTGCCGCAGCCGCCACACCCTCCCCCCCGCGGGCGCAGGACTCGGGCGGCAGCGGGCCCCTGGGTGCCACCCCCCCCCTCATGCACAACCCGCTGAGCTTTGCCTTCTGAGTCAGCTGTCTGCCATCGCACATGTTGTCGTCGATCCTTAGACAGCACAGGGGGCACGCACATGGGAAATGATTCTGGGGGTGCAAATGCGCCGAGTCAGAGGCGCCTGTGCCACGCCGTGTCCTGCACTGCGCCGTCCAAAGCTTGCATGACACCATTCACCAGTTCTCAGCCCTGATGCAGCACGTGTCAGGCTCGAGCCGCCGCAGCCTGCCCGACAGCCGCCTCTCCCTGCTCCTTGGGGAAAGCGCGGTGGCCCTCCGCCACCAGCGCCTCCAGCGCCCGCATCACCTCCCGCCGGTTGTCCTCGCGGTTGGGGAAGCGGGCGCTGGTGAGCCGCAGGCGCCCCGTCCCGCGGTCGTACCGTGGCCCGGCGATACGCGCGATGTGCTGCAGCGCCGCCTCGCTCAGCCCCGCCTCGGCCTGCAGGTCGCGCAGGTACACCCTGCACCGCGCCTTCCAGTTGGCGGGGTGTGACTCGGTCACGCCCGTCACCAGCACCAGTGTGCTCTCCCACTCCAGGATGGGGCGCGCCCCCTCGCGACCCTGGGGCGGGCCGGGATGCGACAGGCCAACCGCCGCCAGGATCTCATCCAAGGACTTGTCGGGCATGGCCTGCTTGGCCGCCTTGATTGTCTCGTGCAGGTCTGTTGGGTGTTGTGGGAGAGGGGTCCAGCGTTGTTCTTCTGGGGTGGCCTTGGGGAACAACGAGGGGAACAGAAGATGCACAGTGCGTGGCAGAGGGGCAAGGCGACATGGCACGCAGCACACGACTGTGTGGGCTGTCCAGGCAGTTCCAGTCGCACCCTACCCCTGGAGCTCCCTAGGGTCCCAGGTGCACAGCCAGGAAAGCACACACAAACCCGGCCCAAACCCACCTGAGCGGGACTGGTAGATCTCAGGGACGACATCGCGGAGGTTGTACAGGGGGACGCCCTCGGGGACGCGCGGGAAGCGCTCCGCCTGCAATGATGGATTGGGACCAGGCAGTGGGGCATCTAGAACAGGGCATGTAGGGGCTTCAGAGGTGCCATGCCATGCCTAGGCATGGATTGAAACGGGCACCCACTCCTGCACCACACCAAACCCTCGACCTTGCCAATGGCAGAGCCCAAGAGCAGCCCACAATACGCCCACCAGCCTTGCACCACGACCACGTCAGCGCACCTCTTCGAAGAACTCCTGCTCGACCTGTGGGTCGGCATAGCTGCTGCGGTCTTTGCGTGACAGACGGGGCAAGAACCTCTTGTGCTTCTCTGGGTCGGGAGCGTAGTGTGCCAGCTGCGCCTTGCTGTACTGGTAGTTTGGGTCGAGGCCTGCGTACCTATCGACTGCGAGCGGATGGTGGGAGAGTGTGTTTTGGTGCATGGTCAACAGCTGCATCTAAACCCACCCATGCCGCCACTCGGATCTACAACAGACCCTCTCAGTACCTGGAGCCTCGCTGGTCTCGGGTTCGGTGCCACCCTCTGCGGGCACCACATCGCCGGTAGATGGAGTTTCGGTGCTGGACGGAGGCTCTTGGCTACTGGAGTACCAAGCACCTCCACAGGCTAGCATCGCGGGGGTTGCCAGCCTGGAGCCGGAGGTGCCTGCCAGCGTTCCGAGGGGTGAGCACGCGCGTACGATCGAGCGCATGGCCATGCTCCTCAACAAATCACACCCTATGTTTTTGTTGGAGTAGGTACACTGTGAATCGCCAATGTAGGTACGCTGGCTTGGGAGACAAGAGGTTTACGAAGGCGTGCTTGCGTGAGGTTCCCTCGACAGGATCACCACGCATAAAATTGTGTTATTCTGTAAGAAGATTGGCCATGTAAATTTTCTATTGTTTCTATGCATGTCCTGATAGACAATCTGATGGTCCACTGTTTGGTGGCGCCCTCGTAACCCAACATTGCACGCCTCGCTCAGCAGCAGCGATGCACCGATCTAATTGTGGACATGGCCCGCTCCTACGCACTGAAACACCCGTGTGTAGCGTACTGAACTCAATACAATATCAGACTGTATTGCAAACTTGTCGATCGATCGCTTGAGCATGCCTGGGTTTCGCATCGGTCCTTTCTCTTTGCAGGCCCCCACCCGGTCAGAGCTGGAGGACATCGAGGCAGCTTCCCAGAGGTGCGATCCATGCAATGTGCTTCTCAGCTTCGAGTGCAGGAAACATCAATATGGAGCATAGCCCTTCCACCTTCAAAGCTCAAGTGCCCTTCATTACCCTTGCAGGCTGGAGTACAACTTTCCCCATGTGGGCTCTACAGCCCTGATTGAGAGCGGCGCTCCAGCCATCCCTGGGTATAACAGCGCGAGGCACCGCGTCAAGGTGATCTTCCAGGGTGGAATCTGCGACAGCATGAGTGATAGGGAGATGGGTGCCCCCATGAGTGGATGAGTCCGGTTGGGTGACCCTTCATGTGCAGTGTGTTTCTTAACACTTGCCATGCCGCCACCTGACGTCTGAGTCCAATGCGACCCTGCAGATGGGTCAGGGACGCAAGGTCTTCAACAGAGGAGTCAAGATGCTGGAGGCCTGGGACCACTTCCGGCTGGGCTGGGCCTTCACCAACGCCCCCCCGCCCGTGGTGGGCGGCATCGTGCTCGTGGCTGCGCGCTCGCTGGGCCTGTGGTCCTGCAACCCCCTGCGCATCAGCCGCGCCAGCCGCTCGCCCCGGCGGCTGGAGTTTGCGTCCACCACGCTGCAGGGACACCAGATCTGCGGCGAGGAGGCCTTCAGCGTGTCGTGGTACCCACAGACTGGGGGCGATGTCTGGTGAGTGGCGTCTGTGGTACTCTTGGCTTGCCTCCGAGGGTGAGAATGAAAGTCATTCCTTGCTCCGTGCCGGGGACCCCAGCCTGTTTGGGAGAGAGACACTGCAGCTCGCAAGAGTCCCCTGTCCCTGGATCACTGCATCACTGGTCCACAAACCACGCTCCTATCCTGTTCATTACATCCCTCTCAACAGGTTTGAGATCCGCAGCGTTTCCCGCCCTGCAACCCCCCTTGCTTGGCTGGCTCAGCCGGTCCTCCGGCACTACCAGGCCAAGTTTGTGCGAGAGTCGCTGGCCCGCATGGCACAGCATGGTGCAGAGACGGCGGCGCCGGGTTGAGCGGCGTGCGTCAGTCGTCGCCCCACCCGTCCTCGTCTGAGTTGTCGGCTGGGCCAAGGCTTGCCTTCACCCCAGCCGACCGGCTGAAGGCCGGCGGCCGGGCTAGGCCCCCGCCCCCAAAGCTCTTGAGTGCGATGGCGGGCCTGGGCACGGCCGCTGTGCCCTCGCCCTCGTCCCGGCCCGCCGCAGGGGTCTCGCCCGCCTCGGCCCCCCTCTGCAGGGCAGCGGCGAGGCGGGCGCGGAGCTCGGGCGCGGCCGCCGCCACCGCTGCAGAGAAAGGGGCGGCGGTCGCGGGGGCGGCGGCGAGCTGCGTCGCCAGCGCGCGCGCGGCGCGGGGCAGGGATTGGGACGAGGAGCCTGCCTCGGCCTCGCCCGCCGCGACGAGCACCGGGAGGAGGCGGCCGAGCAGGGCCGGCTGGAGGTCGGGGCGGCCGGCGACGGCGGCTGCGTTTGCCGTCAGCACGGCCAACCTGGCAGCGGAGCGGAGCCCCGCCAGCGCATCCGAAGCCCCGCGCATCCCCTGCACATGGGTTTGTTGTGATGTAGCACAGCGTGAGGCTGTCATTGCCACACGATCCGTTGCGTCAGTAAGAGCACGCTGCTCAATCGAGGTCGTGACATCCAACAACACCGAGTGCATGCGCTATTGGCATGCCATCTGCGGTTCATCACGGCTACATCGGTCCCTCTGTTCATAGCAACCCCCAAGTCAGGGCGAACGTGCAGCAGTCCAAAACACGCCGGAGTGGCAAAGGCACGTGCTCACCTGGGGGCCGGCCAGCATGGCGGCACGCGCGGCGTCCAAGGAAGGCGCGAGTACCGCCGCCCCGCAGCGCAGTGCCCATCCTCGTCCTGCGCCGGGGCGGGCCAGGTTGTCAGTGACGGCCTGGTGCACCGCCGCGGTCGCCGCTGGGGATGACGCCAGGGCGTGGAGGGCTCGCAGGCACCGCGCGGTGGCCGGGCTGCTGCGGTCTTCGAGTGCTCCGGCTGACGCTGCTTCTTCTGTGCAACGCGTGCCAGCGCCTAGCGCGGACGCCGCCTCGCCCAATGACAAGAGCGCCGAGATCAGGGCAACGGCCGAGTCACCATCGCTACCCTGCCCCGCGACCTCCTCAGTACCAGAAGCCACCTCTCCCACTGCCATGTCGAGCAGCTCTGACACAGACGGCAGACCGGACTCCGGCCCACTGTACCCCACCGTGCCGCTCCCGCTGCCCTGCTGCGTCGTCAGGAGGCCACAGGCCCGCGCCACGGCGAGCGCGGCGGGCCTGCGCAGCGCGGCACCGCCCCGCAAGCCGGCCAGGCCGGCGGTCAGCAGTCGGCGCGGGTCTCCGCAGGACCCCAGCGCCTCCAACACGGCCCCCGCTGCAGCACTCACTGCGGGGTCCGCGCCGGCCTCCGCGTGCAGGTGCACTGCCCGCAAGCAGGCCAGCAGCACGGTCTGCGCCTGTTCGCTGCCCTGGCCAGCCCCCTCCGCGCACAGCAGGCGGGCCACGAGGCGTACAGCCTCCAGCGCAGGCGCCGCCGGCTGGCCTGGCCGAGGGCCCGCGCCCCGGGCGACGCCAAGCAGGAGGGGCAACACTTCTTCCTCACGGCGCGCCGGGTCGATGGCCCGGGCCTCCACCAGCCAGATCAGCACTCTCAGCGCCAGAGCGACATCTGAGGCCCGACGCTCCGCGTCGGGCGGCCCTGCGGCATGCGGGCCCTGCCCCGGCCCCGCCTCGGCCGCCGCGGCGCTGAGCGCCATGATGCCGAGGTCGGCCAGCCCGGGGTGGAGGCCCGTGGAGGCGGCAGCGTCGCTGCGCTGCTCGCCGCTCGCCACCTCGCCCCGCCCGCCCGTACTCGCGAGCACCGCGGCCGCGATGGCCGTCAGCGCTGCCTCCAGGTCCTGCGCCGCGGGCAGCGAGCCGGCCAGCTGTCCCGTGCAGGACGCCGGCGGTGCGGCCGGCAGCGCCACGGCAGCCTCGCCCAGGGCGGCGGCCAGGCGCGAGGGCGGCGCATCGCCGCTGCGCGTGCCGGCGCGGGCCGCAAACCAGTCCTGCGCCGCGCCCGTCCATGCCGTCCGCAGCAGCGCCGCATGGGGCGCCTGCGCGCGCGCCACCTCGCCCCGCACCCCCGACGTGGCGGCCATCGCCGCATGGCACGCGCAGCGCGCGTGCGCCGCGACGCAGGCCGCGCGGGAGGCGAGGCCCACCCACTCCGCGTGCCGCGCGGCGCCGGGGCCCGGCCGCGCTGGCCGCAGGGCCGAGCACAGCATGCCCAGCACACGACGCAGGACCACGGGGTCGCGGTCGCCCAGGCCCGCACAGACGAAGGCGGCGCCCAGCGCCGCGCCCGCCGCCCGCAGGTCGGCGCCCGCCTCCGGCGCCAGGCTGGTCCTGCGAGGAATATGGAGGCTCAGGGTACCTTTGGTGGGAGGGGGCTCTTCTCGAGGAGGCGCTGCCCACGAGGATCACCGGGCGTGATGACATGACCAGCCGCGGCGGCTCCACGTGGAACTCAAACCACCGGTTCAGCCAGGAGCGGTCACCTGATGGCCGACACGAGCTGGGCCTCGTACTGCCCCAGCAGGGGCTCGCCCCCCTCGGCCAGCGGGTCCCGCACGCCAGCAAACACCCGCACGACCACCACCAGCAGGGCCACGCCCGGCGGCCGCAGGGCCTGCGAGGGAGGGAGTGGGACCCAGCTGGCCATCTCGACGAGGTCGGGAATCAGAGCACTCTTCGCGCAAAGCAGGCCCGGGGGAGCTCCATCACCATCAAAGCTGCGCACTCGTCGGCGTGACGGCAGGAACATGCCAACCCACGGCATGGTGCGCGCCGCTTTCACCCCACATCCCTGCCCCTCCAGACCCTACACACCTCCAGCTGCCCGGTGGCTTCCACGAAGCCAACGTGGACCAGCTGCTCCACCCCCACCTCCAGCCAGTCCCTGCCCGCCGCCCCGGCTGCGGCGACCGGGTCGACATGCCGGGCATCTGCGGATGCGGCCAGCAGCGGCAGCCCCGCCAGGCAATCGGCCAGAAACAGGCGCGTGCCCAGCCGCGGCCGCGGCCCCGCCTGCACCCCCGCGTCGGGACCAGGGGCGTGGCCGTCGCCGCGCGCGGCCTCTCGCCGCGCGCGGTCGTCCGGCGCTCCCACTCCGTCCTCGTCGCCGTCCCGCTCCTTTTCGCCATCGCCCCTGCCGTCCCGGCCGTCGTCGAGCCCGCCCGCCGCGCCCTGGCCCTCGGCGCCCTCCAGCACCACGCCCCCCGCTAGCGCCAGCCAACGCGAGGGCGCCGCGGCCGCGCCGGCGCGCAGCAGCGTGCCCAGCGTGGCCTCCGCCTGCGCGGCCAGCTCGGGCCGCGTCTCGGCGTCCAGCGCCCCGACCAGCGCGGCCGGCAGGTCGCCCGGCCAGGCCAGGACGGCAGCCGCGTCGCGCTCTGCCAGGTGGCGCAGCGTGCGCAGCGTGGCGGAGCGCAGCGGCGCGCTGCGCGACGCCATCGGGCCCGCCAGCACCGCCAGGTGGGCTGCCGCGGGCAGCGCGCCCGGCGCGAACAGCACCAGCATCTGCGTGTGCAGCACCACCACCAGCGCGGCGGCGGGCGATGCCGGGGCGGCGACGGTGGTGAGAGTGGAGGGCATGCTACCACTGCCGCCGCTGTTCTCGCCGACGCCGCCGACGGCACTCTCACTGCAGTCATCATCGCCGGTCCCCCCGCCCAGCGCCGCCGCCGCCGCCGCCTCGGCGACGACCAGCTTGCAGAGGTCGTGCGCGCGGGAGCCCAGCGCGTACTCTGGCCCCAGCGACGCGACCGCGGCATTCACCAGGCGCCCGGCGGCGGGCAGCAGCCCCGGCTCGTCGTACAGGTCGGCGCGGAGCAGCGCGTCGCGGCACAGCTCCAGCGCAGGCAACACGTGGGGCAGGAAGGCGGGGCCCGCGGCCTCAGCGCAGGCCAGCAGCGCGTGCAGCGCCGTCTGCAGCGCGGGCGGCGGGGAGGCGGTGGCTAGCGCGCACAGCGTGCCCACCACCGCCCCCAGCCCCGCCTGGAGACCGAGGCCACCGGCGCGGCGCGCCAGGGCCCCCGCCGCCACGGCCAGCGCCGCGCGCCGGCGCAGGCTCCCCGTCTCGGCCGCAGCGGCACACAGTGCGCGCAGCGAGGGCAGCGCCTCCACCCCGCGCCCGCTCGCCAGCGCGGCCACCTGCGCGGCAGCGCGGCACAGCGGCACGCTGGCCTCCACGCCCTCCTCCAGCACCGCCGCCGACAG